TTTCACAGGGATGCTGGCCCATGTTGACTCCAATGCTTCCCACAGTTGTGTCAAATTGGCTCGATGTCCTTTGGGTGGTGGACCATTCTTGATACACACAGGAAACTGTTGACCTTGAAAAACCCAGCAGTGTTACAGTTCTTGACACAAACCGGTGCGCCTGTCACCTACTATCATACCCTGTTCAAAGGCACTTACATTTTTTGTCTTGCCCATTCACCCTCTGAATGGCACACATACACAGTCCATGTCTCAATTGTCTCAAGGCTTAAAAATCATTCTCCTCCCCTTCATCTACACTGATTGAACTGGATTCATAGCTCTCACCTGGATTCACCTGGTCAGTCTATGTCATTGAAAGAGCAGGTGTCCTTAATGCTTTGTATAATCAGTGTATAGCATTTTGCTAAATAAAAACATTATTATTTGTCCCTCTGAAACCATCAAGTGATAGATTTTAAACAAATACATATCTATTATTGAACAACCCCATGCCATGCTTAGATAGTGTAAAAACACACCAATCTCTTTCATAATTTCTTTAAACAATAAAAGCTAATTTACCAACATTTCTGAAAATGGATGTATACCGTTTTGGAATGAAACTCTTCATATGGTCTATTCACTAAAACCTCATGGACAAGATGGACACAGATATAAAGGTTAATATTTTAGTTTTAGTTTTTGTAATTCAACTATAAATTAGCAAAGTTACCATATATTGACATAGATTACCTGTTAGATACCAAAATTACAGAACGTTCAGAGACATTTTGCCATTTAAAATCAAGTTTGCTGCAATTCTACACATTTTGCAATTACTTATACCCTGGTAATATGATATCTGAGTGAGAATGACTAACTAAATCAATGGGGTCCCCGTGTAGGTCAGGGCCCCTGGGCACGTGCCCTGCGTGCCTGGTCGGTATTTAGCCATGATTACTACATGTAATACTACATACTACATGATTACTACATACTGCAAAATCTGGACCCCTACAAATCATCTGGGCTAGACAATCTGGACCCTTTCTTTCTAAAACTAGCCGCCGAAATTGTCGCAACACCTATTACTAGCCTGTTCAACCTCTCTTTCGTAACGTCTGAGATCCCCAGAGATTGGAAAGCTGCCGCGGTCATCCCCCTCTTCAAAGGGGGTGACACTCTAGATCCAAACTGTTACAGACCCATATCCATCCTGCCCTGCCCTTCAAAAGTTTTTGAAAGCCAAGTTAACAAACAGATCACCGACCATTTCGAATCCCACCGTACCTTCTCCGCTATGCAATCCGGTTTCCGAGCTGGTCATGGGTGCACTTCAGCCACGCTCAAGGTCCTAAACGATATTTTAACCGCGATCGATAATAGACAGTACTGTGCAGCCGTTTTCATTGACCTGGCCAAGGCTTTCGACTCTGTCAACCACCGCATTCTTATTGGCAGACTAAATAGCCTTGGTTTCTCAAATGACTGCCTCGCCTGGTTCACCAACTACTTCTCAGATAGAGTTCAATGTGTCAAATCGGAGGGCCTGTTGTCTGGACCTATGGCAGTCTCTATGGGGGTGCCACAGGGTTCAATTCTTGGGCCGACTCTTTTCTCTGTGTATATCAATGACGTCGCTCTTGCTGCTGGTGACTCTCAGATCCACCTCTACGCAGACGACACCATTTTGTATACATCTGGCCCTTCATTGGACACTGTGTTAACAAACCTCCAAACGAGCTTCAATTCCATACAACACTCCTTCAGTAGCCTCCAACTGCTCTTAAACACTAGTAAAACTAAATGCATGCTCTTCAACCGAACGCTGCTTGCACCCGCCCACCCGACTAGAATCACTACACTCGACGGGTCTGACCTAGAGTATGTGGACAACTACAAATATCTAGGTGTCTGGTTAGACTGTAAACTCTCCTTCCAGACTCACATTAAGAATCTCCAATCCAAAGTTAAATCTAGAATCGGTTTCCTATTTCGCAACAAAGCCTCCTTCACTCATGCTGCCAAACATGCCCTCGTAAAACTGACTATCCTACCGATCCTTGACTTCGGCGATGTCATTTACAAAATAGCCTCCAACACTCTACTCAGCAAATTGGATGTAGTCTATCACAGTGCCATCCGTTTTGTCTCCAAAGCCCCATATAATACCCACCACTGTGACCTGTACGCTCTTGTTGGCTGGTCCTCACTACATATTCGTCGCCAAACCCACTGGCTCCAGGCCATCTATAAATCACTGCTAGGCAAATCCCCGCCTTATCTTAGCTCATTGGTCACCATAGCAACACCCACCCGTAGTCTGCGCTCCAGCGGGTATATCTCACTGGTCATCCCCAAAGCCAACACCTCCTTTGGCCGCAATTCCTTCCAGTTCTCTGCTGCCAATGACTAGAACAAATTGGAAAAATCTCTGAAGCTGGAGACACTTATCTCCCTCACTAACTTTAAGCATCAGTTGTCAGAGCACCTTACCGATCACTGCACCTGTACACAGCCCATCTGAAATTAGCCCGCCCAACTACCTCATCCCTATATTGTTATTTATTTTGCTCATTTGCACCCCAGTATCTCTATTTGCACATCATCTCTTGCACATCTATCATTCCAGTGTTAATACTAATTGTAATTATTTTGCACTATAGCCTATTTTATTGCCTTACCTCCATAACTTGCTAAATTTGCACACACTGTATATACAGTGGGGAGAACAAGTATTTGATACACTGCCGATTTTGCAGGTTTTCCTACTTACAAAGCATGTAGAGGTCTGTAATTTTTATCATAGGTACACTTCAACCATGAGAGACGGAATCTAAAACAAAAATCCAGAAAATCACATTGTATGATTTTTAAGTAATTAATTTGCATTTTATTGCATGACATAAGTATTTGATCACCTACCAACCAGTAAGAATTCTGGCTCTCACAGACCTGTTAGTTTTTCTTTAAGAAGCCCTCCTGTTCTCCACTCATTACCTCTATTAACTGCACCTGTTTGAACTCGTTACCTGTGTAAAAGACACCTGTCCACACACTCAATCAAACAGACTCCAACCTCTCCACAATGGCCAAGATCAGAGAGCTGTGTATTGACATCAGGGATAAAATTGTAGACCTGCACAAGGCTGGGATGGGCTACAGGACAATAGGCAAGCAGCTTGGTGAGAAGGCACAGCTGTTGGCGCAATTATTAGAAAATGGAAGAAGTTCAAGATGACGGTCAATCACCCTCGGTCTGGGGCTCCATGCAAGATCTCACCTCGTGGGGCATCAATGATCATGAGGAAGGTGAGGGATCAGCCCAGAACTACACGGCAGGACCTGGTCAATGACCTGAAGTGAGCTGGGACCACAGTCTCAAAGAAAACCATTAGTAACACACTACGCCGTCATGGATTAAAATCCTGCAGCGCACGCAAGGTCCCCCTGCTCAAGCCAGCGCATGTCCAGGCCCGTCTGAAGTTTGCCAATGACCATCTGGATGATCCAGAGGAGGAATGGGAGAAAGTCATGTGATCTGATGAGACAAAAATAGAGCTTTTTGGTCTAAACTCCACTCGCCGTGTTTGGAGGAAGAAGAAGGATGAGTACAACCCGCAAGAACACCATCCCAACTGTGAAGAACGGAGGTGGAAACATCATTCTTTGGGGATGCTTTTCTGCAAAGGGGACAGGACGACTGCACCGTATTGAGGGGAGGATGGATGGGGCCATGTATCGCGAGATCTTGGCCAACAACCTCCTTCCCTCAGTAAGAGCATTGAAGATGGGTTGTGGCTGGGTCTTCCAGCATGACAACGACCCGAAACACACAGCCAGGGCAACTAAGGTATAGCTCCGTAAGAAGCATCTCAAGGTCCTGGAGTGGCCTAGCCAGTCTCCAGACCTGAACCCAATAGAAAATCTTTGGAGGGAGCTGAAAGTCCGTATTGCCCAGTGACAGCCCCGAAACCTGAAGGATCTGGAGAAGGTCTGTATGGAGGAGTGGGCCAAAATCCCTGCTGCAGTGTGTGCAAACCTGGTCAAGGCCTACAGGAAACGTATGATCTCTGTAATTGCAAACAAAGGTTTCTGTACCAAATATTAAGTTCTGCTTTTCTGATGTATCAAATACTTATGTCATGCAATAAAATGCAAATTAATTACTTAAAAATCATACAATGTGATTTTCTGGATTTTTGTTTTAGATTCCGTCTCTCACAGTTGAAGTGTACCTATGATAAAAATTACAGACCTCTACATGCTTTGTAAGTAGGAAAACCTGCAAAATCGGCAGTGTATCAAATACTTGTTCTCCCCACTGTATATGTATTTCTGTTGTATTTTTTGACTTTGTTTTGTTTTACCCCATATGTAACTCTGTGTTGTTGTTTTTATCGCACTGCTTTGCTTTATCTTGGCCAGGTCGCAGTTGTAAATGAGAACTTGTTCTCAACTGGTTTACCTGGTTAAATAAAGGTGAAATAAAATAAAAAAATAAAACATGTTTAGATAGCAGGAACAGGAGGCTGCTGATGGGAGAACGGCTCATAATAATGGCCAGAATGGAGCTAATGGAATGGCATCAAACACCTGCAATCCATGTGTTTGAAGTATTTGGTACCATTACACCTATTCCGCTCCAGTCATTACCACGAGCTCGATCACCCCAATTAAGGTGCCATCAACTTCCTGTGATAGCTGGCTAGACTAACTACCAATCTAAAAATTGTTAGCTGACATGGCTAATTGAGTGACTGTCAGTGACAGACATAACAAGAAAAAAACTGCAGATGCACAAACAAATTTAGAAAATGCAACTGGTGTATTCTACTATTCTGACTCTCAATATTAAGTTGAGACCCTGACTGAGTTCCTTTTTATTTATTTATTTGAGTGCTTATGTTGCTTATACATGGAAGCGACTCTGGGTTAGCGCTATGGCTAGAGGGGTTTAGTGTTTTGGACAATTTAATTAATGTGCCTGTTGATGACTTTCTCGCCTTAAGCAGATGTTATAGGTTTTTGCACAGTGTTTCTGGGTTTCCTGTCACTGTGGGCCTCAGAGCACAGTAGTACAGAGCAGAGTCTGTCAATTCAGCAGAGGAGATCTCCAGATCCATACGTTTGGCATTTTTGTCATGATTTAGACTGAACCCTGGTGTAATATCCGCATACTCCTTAACCAGTAACTGTGGTGCAGATTTGGGATATTGCCGAAACCATTAAAGAGTGTCACCAGAAGAGGTGTAGTTACAAGAGAGAGTAACTCTGTCCCTTCCTGAAGCCACTTCTAAATCAGTGTAGGGTGTTAATACCTGTTCAGAACTGAGACCTGTAAAACATAAAACATATATTATATTGAATACTTTAAACCCACATGGAAGATTGAATTAGAATGTATTCAAAGTAAAAAACATGTATCCTCATGTCGTGCATTATCTTCATAATCTTTGATTTGAAAAATAAATACACCTTAACATTATCACACTCAGTTTAAATGAAAATGGCATGACTTACCTATCAAGTCAAAGAAGAGTAAAAGTGAACAGAACAACATTGTAGATGGCAGGATGTGTAGATTAAGTACCAGCTGCTGATGAAAAGCACAGCATCAAGTGGCTATGATTTTCATGGTAGTATCATGTCTTATATTGAGGATTCATAATCTGATCCTGAGTTTTATACTCTAGCTCCTCCTACTGACAATGTAGAATCAAAGATGTTTCACAGACATTTGATTTATTCACCAGAGAATCCACTTGATGGCACTGTGGTCTAACAGAAGACAGCAGGTGCTTGTAAATCCATAAATTCAGCTCACTGCTGAGTCAATAAGTTATGCGTCACTGTGGACGTCACAGCACAGCAGTACAGTGCAGAGTGTCTTATGGTTTTTGTACAGTGTTTCTCAGTTTCCTGTCATTATAGGATCTACAGCACAGTAGTACAGAGCAGAGTCTCTCACTTCAGCAGAGGAGATATCCAGATCCACACAGGTCTTCTCTTTGTTCAGTTTAACAGTGAGGTGAGGGTATGGAGGTTTAGCTCTCACTACAGTCCTAGAGGCATGGTGGATGAAGAGGAGGAATTGGGGAGTTGTTTTTGAGAATTTTGTTTTAAGCCTATCCCAAACCTTAACACCTACCTTACCCATTCAGAGTTAATGCCTAACCTTAAAGTGGAATGGACAGTGTTTTAACTACTTTGCAGATATTAAACAAATAAACAATCATAATATCAGCCAAAAATATCTAATTCCCAGTTTATATCCTCTTAACCCTTTAGACTCCAATATAATTCTAGAATGCTGCTGTAGATTACTGAGAATTTTCAAGATAAAGCTAATTTTCTCACACATTTCAAACTAACAGACATAGCTCAATAACAAAGAACAAATGACAATTACAAGTTAACTTAGTTTTAAAGAGCTCTACCTCTTCTTTACTATGACACCACATTCATGTCAATTGGAATAACACTCATTTTGTCTTCCATTGTGTAAAGACACACACTATCAGAAAACAATTAACAATAAACACAACAAAAAACCCTAGAGTATTTCAATTGTAATAAATTAGACTAAATGACACACAAAAAATGTACCAAGTATAATATATTATACTTATACATTTTATTTACATATAAATAAATAAAATATCCTAAATGTGACCAGAGGACAATATTCAGAATGTATTTCAAAACCCACACAAAGTAGGCTATTTGATTGACAATGATTCTTACTCCTGTAACAATAAAAAAATGCAAACTTCGTCCTCTCCCTCTTTCTCGTCCTCTCCCTCTTCCTCTCCATGTTTCTCTCCCTCCTCTTCACTCCTTCGCTCTTCTTCCTCTCTCCCTCTACTCTCCCTCCTCTTAACTCTCCTCTTCCTCTCTCCCTCCACTCTTCTCTCCCCCACATCTCTGTCCCTCCAATCATCTCTAACTCCTCCCCTTTTGCTGCTGAGCCCTGACTCTCCACATCACTTCCCTCACTTTCACTGACCCAGAGGAACAGAGTAACAGAGGGAGAGGAGCAACAAATAGGATACAATTGTAGTCAGGAACATAATCTCTCTCTCTCAGTTTCCATAATAAATTGTGTGATACAGTAACACACCTCCCATTCCCTAGCAAACCTGACAAACCATAACCTAAGCCCAACAGTTAAACACAAATTACTCTAGCCTTCATTTCGGTGGCTAGTTAGCTGGTTGTCTGTATGGCTAGCTAGTGAAAGTGACAACTGAGGTTGACGCAGCCCAAATGTACCGCTACACACAACTTGCCTGACAGACTAACTAGTTAGCTAGCTTGGGCTGTTTCCATATGAATTACATCAGTAGAAACTTCTCTGATGAGTCCAATTTTCAGCTTTGCCCAACACCTGGTCGTCTAATGGTTAGACGGAGACCTGGAGAGGCCTACAAGCCACAGTGTATCGCACCCTCTGTGAAATTTGGTGGAGGATCGGTGATGATCTGGGGGTGCTTCAGCAAGGCTGGAATCGGGTAGATTTGTCTTTGTGAAGGACGCATGAATCAAGCCACGTACAAGGTTGTCCTGGAAGAAAACGTGCTTCCTTTTGCTCTGACATTGTTCCCCAACTCTGAGGATTGGATTTTCCAGCAGGACAATGCACCATGCCACACAGCCAGGTCAACCAAGGTGTGGATGGAGGACCAACAGATCAAGACCCTGTCATGGCCAGCCCAATCTCCAGACCTGAACCCCATTGAAAACTTCTGGAATGTAATCAAGAGGAAGATGGATGGTCACAAGGCATCAAACAAAGCCGAGCTGCTTGAATTTTTGCACCAGGAGTGGCATAAAGTCACCCAACATCAATGTGAAAGACTGGTGGAGAGCATGCCAAGACGCATGAAAGCTGTGATTGAAAATCAGGGTTATTCCAACAAATATTGATTTCTGAACTCTTCCTGAGTTAAAACATTAGTAATGTGTTGTTTAAAAATGAACATTAACTTATTTTCTTTGCATTATTCGAGGTCTGACAACACTGCATCTTTTTTATTATTTTGACCAGTTGTAATTTTATGCAAATAAATGCTCTAAATGACAATATTTTTATTTGGAATTTGGGAGACCTGTTGTCAGTAGTTTATAGAATAAAACAAAAATGTTATTTTTACCCAAACACATGCCTATAAATAGTACATCCAGAGAAACTGATAATTTTGCAGTGGTCTCTTAATTTTTTCCACAGATGTATATCTGCTGTTTACTTATTTCACTCACCTCGACATCATCGCTTTTCAAAGAGCAAGGACTTGTGCAAATACATATCACCAACCATCATAGATAAAGCCTCTTTCACAGTAAAAAGTTGTGTCTGCTTCGTCACTGTCATTTTGAGTAAAGAAGTTTAAAAAACGTTGAAATGTCAAATGACAGCATGCTCTGCTTACGGTTTCTGGTTGATGACAACAACCACGCGAATACGACAACAGGTTGTTAGCAAGTTCATTTTGCAATTCAGCAGAGGAGATCTCCAGATCCACATAGGTCTTATCGTCATTCAGTTTAACAGACAGTCGAGGAATGGTCGATTCATTATGTGTATTAAACCTTCAGTGATTAGGAGCAGGAATTCTGGTGTTGATCTAGGGTATTGTTGGTACTACAGTAAAATATCAGTACTGTAAGAGCCAGTGTAGTTGCAGGACAGAGTAAACCATCACCCTCAAAAAACACACTCTTCAGTTGTGGCTGATATTATTTCCTCCTCATAATTGCTCCCTGAAATAAATAATGTTAAACATGTTTTAAATAAATCACATTGCAATGTATGTACGTGCCATCAATGCTATATCGACATACAGTTGAAGTAGGAAGTTTACATACACTTAGGTTGAAGTCATTAAAACTTGTTTTTCAACAACTCCACAAATTTCTTGTTAACAAACTATAGTTTTGGCAAGTCGGTTAGGACATCTACTTTGTTCATGACACAAGTAATATTTCCAACAATTGTTTACAGACAGATTATTTCACTTATAATTCACTGTATCACAATTCCAGTGGGTCAGAAGTTTACATACACTAAGTTGACTGTGCCTTTAAACAGCTTGGAAAATTCCAGAAAATGATGTCATGGCTTTAGAAGCTTCTGATAGGCTAATTGACATCATTTGAGTCAATTGGAGGTGTACCTGTGGATATATTTCAAGGCCTACCTTCAAACTCAGTGCCTCTTTTCTTGACATCATGGGAAAATCTAAAGAAATCAGCCAAGACCTCAAAACTGTAGACCTCCACAAGTCTGGTTCATCTTTGGGAGCAATTTCCACATGCCTGAAGGTACCACGTTCATCTGTACAAACAATAGTATGCAAGTATAAACACCATGGGACCACGCAGCCGTCATACCGCTCAGGAAGGAGACGCGTTCTGTCTCCTAGAGATGAACATACTTTTGTGCGAAAAGTGCAAATCAATCCCAGAACAACAGCAAAGGACCTTGTGAAGATGCTGGAGGAAACACGTAAAAAAGTATCTATATCCACAGTAATACGAGTCCTACAACGACATAACCTGAAAGGCCGCTCAGCAAGGAAGAGGCCACTGCTCCAAAACCACCATAAAAAAGCCAGACTACGCTTTGCAATTGCTCATGGGGACAAAGATAGTACTTTTTGGAGAAATGTCTCCTGGTCTGATGAAACAAAAACTGTTTGGCCATAATGACCATCGTTATGTTTGGAGGAAAAAGGGGGTTGGTTGCAAGCCGAAGAACACCATCCCAACCGTGAAGCACGGGGGTGGCAGAATCATGCTGTGGGGGTGCTTTGCTGCAGGAGGGACTGGGGAACTTTACAAAATAGATGGCATCATGAGGAAGGAAAATTATGTGGATATATTGAAGCAACATCTCAAGACATCAGTCAGGAAGTTAAAGCTTGGTCGCAAATGGGTCTTCCAAATGGACAATGACCCCAAGCATACTTCCAAAATTGTGGCAAAATGGCTTAAGGACAACAAAGTCAAGGTATTGGAGTGGCCATAACAAAGCGCTGACCTCAATCCAATAGAACATTTGTGGGCAGAACTGAAAAAGCATGTGCGAGCAAGGAGGCCTACAAACCTGACTCAGTTACACCAGCTCTGTCAGGAGGAATGGGCCAAAATTCAAGTTTGTGGAAGGATACCCGAAACGTTCGACCCAAGTTTAACAATTTAAAGGCAATGCTACCAAATACTAATTGAGTGTATATAAACTTGTGGCCCACTGGGAATGTGATGAAAGAAATAAAAGCTGAAATAAATAATTCTCTCTACTGTTATTTTGACATTTCACATTCTTAAAATAAAGTGGTGATCCTAACTGACCTAAGACAGGGAATTTGTACTAGGATTAAATGCCAGGAATTGTGAAAAACTGAGTTTAAATGTATTTGGCTAAGGTGTATGTAAACTTCCGACTTCAACTGTATGTCTGAAATCCAAACCTGCATTGCAAAACCCAACGCAAAACCTATGCACTTACCAATGGACATTGAAAGAAGTAGAATAGCATAAAACATATTTATGGGGACTGAATGACTGGCTTTATGTGGTGTAAAGTAAGAGTATATCACTGTCCTTTCCTCAAACATCTTGTAGACTACATACTGTATTGCCAAAGCACTCATTGACTTTGTAGCTCCACCTCTCCACACTAAAGGTGGTTGGGTATTTGAGTTCAACTGTCTTTCTGGGTTGGATTGCTGCTAAATGTCATCTTCATGATTATGCTGTAGTTCTGAATAGAGATAATTCAGCTCATGACTGCCCTCTATTGGTATTGTCTCAAAATGTATGCTGTTCACACAAACCAATGGAGAAGAATAAGACAATTACTACCCTTAGTCCTCTATAGATGCAAAACAACACAACAAATGTTCTTCATTCTGTATTTATTCAGACTAGTATCAGTGATCATGTTATATCACAACAGGTACATGTAGACATTATAAAGTATTATTTCCTGAAGAAGGGAATTATTTCAATAAAATAACAGTTATATTTTATTTTTCAGTTGATGTGGAGATGCAGGGAAAATATTTGTAATAATGTACTCTAAATAATAACTGATCTATCAGAATGCAATGTCTCCACCAAGACACTGTTTATCCCCAAGGCTCTTGACAGGTTTTTGTACAGTGTGTTTGAGTTTCCTGTCACTGTGGGCTGCAAGGCGCAGTAGTACAGAGCAGAGTCTTCCAATATAACAGAGGAGATCTTTAAGTCAACACGGGTCTTCTCTTCATTCAGTCTACCAGTGTGTCGTGGAGTCGTAATGGATGTATTCTGTACATGCTTGTTGGTTGGTAGGATCAAAAGAAGACATTCTGGTCTTGATCCGGGGTATTGACGGTACCATTGGAGATTGTAAACGTTTCCCTTGTAGTTGCATGAGAGAGTGATGTCTGTTTCTTGGAGAGCATTGACTTCAGGCTTCAGTGAAGTTATTGTTTCCTGCTCCATACTATTGCCTGCAACAACAAAAGTATTGTGATTCAAAACGTACAGACATGATAACGCACAGACATGATAACAGTAAGAATTACAATTTGAGAGTTTTACTACCATTTGTTTTTATGGAATCTTTAATTGAACGCGGGGAAATCAAATTGTTATTTGGTTTAAGCTGAGAATTCAGCACTCACCTACAAACACAGAGAGGAGCAACAGCAATATGAGTGACATCCTGAAACAGACTGGTTAAACCAACTGAGAGATAAGACAGTGAGACATCCTCATGGTTGCAGGTATACCCAGCCTATACCAGTGTATGACTATGAGGCTCCTCCTCTGATAGCTGGATATGTAACACTTCTTCTGTGGTTTGTGGTTAAGGGTTTTAAGTTGATACTCGCCTCTTCCTCAGATTATTTTAGACTTAATTTCTATCTGGAAATGTCTATTGAAAGCTATTGTTTATTTTTCCCCATTTTTTTTCAATGGCTCCACAATATTATACCATAATTTCCTCTGCTGTCCTCTCCTCTCATTTGTCCTCTCTTCAGTGATACTGCGTCTCTCGTTCCCTCCACTGGGTGGTGTAGGAGGTAGATTCCCTCCATTATTTTATGAATCACATATGAAAGGTTTTTGTACATTGTGTCTGTGTTTCCTCTCACTGTGGCCGTCAGGGTGCATTAGTACAGAGCACAGTCTGTCACTTCAGCAGAGGAGATCCCCAGATCCACACGGGTTCTCTCTTTATTCGGATTAACAGACAGTCGAAGATCTTCAGGTTTAGCTTTAAATACAGAAGGTTTTGAGGTGACTGTGGTGTAGAGGAGGAATTGGGGTGCTGATCTGGGATATTGACGATACCATTGAAGATAGTCTACTGAGCCAGAGTATTTGCAAGTCAGTGTAACACTGCTTCCCTCCATGCCATGTTCTGTCTCTGAAGTTGTTTTTATGTCATTTTCATAACTGCCACCTGTAATAAAGTTAAGTTTAGTTAAACCTTTTCAGTTCATGGGAAAATATTACATACTCTGTCATATTCAATACAAGTAAAAAGATAATCAGTAATTTACATATCTTCTATGAAGTGCTATTTTCAAATGACACTTGACAGTTACCTTGAATAAACTAGAAGTATGTAATGTTACACCAACAAGTGCAGAGAGGAGAAACACTGGGTAGAGACACATGGTGATGGGTGTAACAGTGTGTTATCAGGAGGCAGAACTGAAGACATCCCACTGTTCCAGTCAGTTAGAGGAGAATCATCTCTCCACCTCTCATATTAGCTCCTCCTATTCAGTAAATGGACCCACATTACATCAACATTATAATCTGTGATGAACAAATGTGACGTAATTGATGGATAATCATGAACATGTTCTCTGATCATTTGTATGCAGATGCTTGCCTATTACATGTTGTATACTTGTAGGACATTATTGCAGTCAGGTTTTTGTAGTGTTTCTGGGTTTCCTGTCACTTTGGGCCTCAGGCCACAGTAGTACAGAGTCTGTCACTTTAGCAGAGGAGTTTTCCAGATCCACACGTTCAGCCACTTTGTCAACGTTAACTGACAGTCGAGGATACGGTGGATCTGCAGTAACTATTGTCTCAGCAGTTGCTGAATACACTGAGATGAGGAGGAGGAATTGGGGAGCAGATGTGGGATATTGGTGATGCCATAAGACACTGCCTCCACCAGATACTGTGTAGTTGCAGGAAAGCTTGACACTGCCACCATGTATCACATCCTCCTCAAGACTGTTGGAGAAAATTCCATCCCCGTAATTATAATCTGCAGAAAACTGACGTGAGATAAAAGTCAAAGCTTGTGTGATGTTTTTCCAAGCTTGCTATGAAGTAATTACACATTATTATTACTGTTAAATGTATTTTACTTACCCAGTAATGTTAAAAAGAACAAGGTGAACCAGCACAGCATGGTTAATGTTAGAGAGACAATCTTACAATGCACTGAGGAAAGACCTTCATGCTATTTTGACTGTCTCCTTTTCATTCTCATACTAGCTGCTCCTCTAAACACAACACAACTCATTTTTCAGAGGATCTTCTGAAGTGAATGAAAAACAGGAAGAAAAATTCATTTTCAGATGATTTGGTTTCCTTATTGATAATATTCTATAATTTGTATTTAATAGAAGTTTCCCCTTTTATGCTAAATGTGTTTTTACTTACTCTAACAACAGTTGTTACCACAATAATCTAATCTACAGACTCTCTGCTGCCTGATAATGAACTGTGGTCAGGAAATTACCAACAAGCTCATCTAAAACAAGTCATCAGTGTACTAGTTTTTGTACATCCTCTCAGAAACGTCCTTCAGGGCACAGTAGTGGAGAGCTGTGTCTGCCAGAGTTACTTGTTTTATCATGAGTGTAGTTGACGTTTGGGATGTTGTAGATTCATATAGATGATTTGAGATATGGTCAACACTATTTGCTCTGGCACCTTTATACAGTAGTTACTGAGGTGACTGGTTAGGGTATTGTTGGTACCAGTAAAGGTAGATGTTACTGCTGCTTGTTTCATATGTACAGCTCAGAGTCACTGATGATCCCTCAGTGGGGGTGTACTCCTCCTTGTCAGGAGTCAAACTATCTCCAGATACCATTCCTGCAGAGGAAAAATAGATAATAAAGCTGATTGGAAACTCATGCTTATTTTTTAAGACTTTTTAGATATCAACTTAGTTATTCAAATTTAAATGACTTTACTTCATCAAAATATGTTTTACTACCAATACCATAATTGAATAATCTGATTATAAGAATGAAAGGAGTTCAGATGTTTAGGTATTGTTTACTTGTAGTCATAATCAGAATGATCAATAAACTGATTGATTTCTCCATCTTTAGGCTGATGTTTGCATGCATTCACTCTCCTCTGAAATGTTATTTTGTGTGTCACTGTGTGAGGTCTACAGCCCTGCTAACATCACACCCACCACAGAAGTAAGGCTTGCATTTTTTATACACTAGTGCCAAGGCTACACTCATTTTTGTAGGCGGGCTGTATATCCTGTTGTCACAGTGGGCCTCAGAGCACAGTAGTACACAGCAGAGTCAGACAGCTGTACCCTCTGGATCGTCAATAGGACTGATTTGGTAATGGAACTGAGATGGGCATCAAATCTCCCCTTGAATCTTTCATCAAAATCTCCTGGTCCAATGACATCCTTCAGCAATACATATTCATGGTAATCATTTGTGGAGATGGAGATGATAAACTGGTGCTATAGTCATAGTTGAGAGACACATCTTCCCCTTCATAATCAGTCTCTTTTCTCTTTGACTAAGTAACACTGTCTGCTCCTCTGACTCTGGAAACAAAGAAGAATACTGTTATATTGTGGACACCATATAAATAATTCCTACTGTATAGGTGGTATACTTAACTGCAGTATAGTATTATTGCTATTCATGGAATTATGGTTTTTATAGACATTGGTGTTGACCGTGACCTTTACCCTCCTGTGATGTTATCACCCAGAGTTGGCACAGTATTAACGGGACACTACCTCATGTTGAGTTGGGTATATTACTCTCCTGATTTCTACCATTTGTACATGGCTGTAACCCTTTATTTTGTAGTTTGCAAGTAAAGGCAATGAACATTGTAACACATGTGGACAATCCTTGTAAAGTTACCACAAATACCTTTGTGAAAAATGTCAGGATTCCAGTAACATCAGAGTATTGAGAAAAAGATAATGAGAGCCGTATCCTACCAAAGAGAAGTGTAGCAAGAACAACAGAGGTCCGCAGCCAATGTCCCATACTTATCATAGGATACCAGGGGCGCAACTTTGGTTTTAGAAGTGGGGGGGACACAAATACATTTGTATTTTTGTATTTTTTTAGGAGGTAGATCAGCTTTAATGTTGCAGATAGATTGTGGCTTCCGTCAATGTAATTGTGTGCATAATTTCCAATCCCCCATATATTTTCTTACAAATATATGTTCCTTTATTATTATCCCCTAACCCTACCATCCCTCCCCTAATTGGAGTAAACTAATGGACAACAAGACTTAGGCTTCTACTTCACGCTTATACATACTATATACATTTTACGGACACAGTACATTGTACAATAGTTATCTTTTGTTGGTTTTTAGTCCCATCCTTCAGCTCCACTCAACCCCTCCCATCTATCTCTGAACACTATCCAGTTTCGATTTCTATTTGCCGTATATTTTTCAACTGTGCTGTGATGTTTCACAAAAGTTCTGAACCTTTCTATTCTCATAGATTATATATAGTAAATTAAAAATAAACATTTTTGCTAAGAGTATTATTATATTATTGATCGATTGACTATTACTTTTTAAATCACCTAGCAGTGCTATTTGCAGAGGGGGACATAAGTTGGCAGGGGGTCTGGTGGCCCTGCCATTGTTTGGGGCATCTAAAGCACATTTCCTGCATTTCTACACAATCTAATATGACCCATTGCCCTTCTAGCCATCTCTATTAAGAACAACATAAAGTAAGCAGAAATGCCCAGTCATCATCTAGATAAGAGATTATTAAATATGTTTAAGTGATTGATAAGACTGAACTAGATAAAAGATAATTCAATAATCAATATTGTGTTGCACCAGTGGTTTCCGAGACAACAATGCTGATTATGCTGTGATGACAAGAAATCCGCTGACACTGTCCTTGATTATAATGGTTTATTACATCAAAGATCACAGTATCAATTTACAGACTCCTGCAGAAGTCCGGAGAACAACTGACCCAATCTCTAATATGTTTTTCCTCCCCGTCCTTTGTTTAAAACATGGTATTTATATCCTATGTAACATAAGATGGGTGGTTTTTTGATAGACCAATCCCTGGCCTCCCCATATCTCCAAATGTCCTCTATTCCAAGAAGCCTATGTAGTAATGCTTTCCAGATGTTTCAGCAAAGCAGAGTAAAGTTCATCTATTACACCATTTGCAAATGTCAGCAAAATCATAGACTTTCAGATACTACACACCTTTAACCAATAGCCTAACAAATGAACAACTCCTCCAAATAAAGTACAAAGACAGATTTTAATTGTCTTTAAGACATCCTCTATAACACATTTCAGCCAGACCGCCCAGCAAAACCGAGCCGCCTACACACCCGACCCCCACCAGTCTAGTCAATAACTCATCTCACTCCCCAACACAACTTCCTTCCCATTTGGAAAACAAAAGTTGAATGAAAACACACATACACCTACACATTAACACACAGAAACCGTACACCCTCCATATAATTCATATCATAGGCCTAATAGTACTGTAGAGCTCTTTCTACTTGCACACAATATAGCTGGGTCACCCCGTCTTGCCCCTAGGGGTCCACGGCCCTGTAGTACCCCAGCCCTACATACCCCACTCACCTTCAGGATCTTAGTGAAACATTCATTATTGGTTTCAGGTGTGTTAGGCCAAGGTCAGAATGACAACAGTACAGCAGATCCCCAGGGCCAATACTGAGCAGCCCAGCAGCTAGGGATTTCCTAAATCTCCCCTGACGTGGGCATGTTTTCAATACAGACTCCATTTATCGTACAGTATTCCATATAAGGCACCCAGTCAGACCTTATGAAAGTTGCACAGTATACCCTCAATCTTAAAACAAATCTAGTGATACTGTACATAACTTTACATTTCTTCCATACATTGTGGGAGGATAACCAACCTTCCAGTTAATCGCAATGCATTTATTAGCCACTATAAATGCTAGGTTACAAAGTTTCTTCTGATAACAACCTTCTGTATCAACATTTCCAAGCAAACAAAAACAGGGAGAAGGGAGAATCTGTAGACATGCTGAGATTTTGCCAGCCTTCACAAGACCACAACATTTGCAAATATGTCCCCTTTTGTGCTTTACACCTCCAGCAGAATAATACAATTTCTGAGTGCATGATATTCAGTTTCACTGGCATATGTAACTTACTGGCTCAAATCGGTCTTATGTAGCAGCATTTGAAATTGTGTTTTTTACATTGGATAAAAGTAGAGACTCAGAGCTCAAAACTGTATATCATACACTACAGTTGAGGAACAATGTGAAAGTAATTTTTCTTTGAAAGTTGATAAACTTGTAAACTCACTTTTGAGAAAATGGCCTTTGAATGTTTTGTTACTACTATTGGAGAGCCCTTCTTTGTCTACACCCATTCAGCATCGTTCACACCCTCTTAAATTTTAGCCCCACTCATCTCTTTAAGGGTTGATCCGAACGTTCTGTACTAACTTGCTAGCTACTTCCAGACATCTAAGTGAGAGAGAACAGCTCACTGAACATTACTCGCCCTAGCAGAGCTGGTTAGGCTGTTATGTTATCCAGAGCGTTGGTGACTGCAACTGTGCTGTCAGATTTTCTGTTCGTAAATTCAGAGCATTTCGCGTTCAGAGCACACACTGGATGCTCTGGCCAATGAGTAGGGTTGATCCGAACGTTCTGACCTCACAACGACAGTCAAGCACCTAAGCTAATTGGCTAACATTGGCAAGCTACTTCCAGACACATATTGAGAGAACACCACACTCTGACCATTTTACTCGCCCTAGCAGAGCTGGTAGGCTGTTTTCATGTTATCCAGAGCATTGGTGACTGTAACTCACTGTGCTGCTGACAAAAATTTAATTACGCTTTTTTGCTGATGTTTACTGACACTGGCCATATTCAACGGGGGTTGAGCGTTCGTAAATTCGTTAAGACATGTAGCTAGATAGCTAGCTAGGTAAACAATGAATCCCAACGCATGATGTAACATTAGTTAGCGAGCCAGACAGCTAATGTTAGCTACCTAGGTAACAGTACATTTTAACTTAAAATGAAAAGACTTTATGTCAAAATTAGAAACGTGTAATATCTGAAAATGTAGCTAGCTAGACTATCTTACCCGTGGTCTGAAATCGGAGTAGATAGCCAGAGCTAATTTACTAGCTAGTACGTCTATCAACAGTTGCAGTGACATTCTATTGAAATAGATACTTGCATAGTGGAGTCTTTTGTTAAGACATGTAGCTAGCTAGCTAAACAATGAACCATAATCACAACTCATGACATTACTACCCTGCATGAATCTGCAGGTAGCTAACCAACCAGGTTCAATGTTAGCTTGCTAACATTAGGCTATAACTAGTCAAGCAAATGAGTCTGAGATTCGAAGAATAAGATCATACACATAACTTTAGCTAGCTAGCGAGCCAGCCAGCTAACACTACACTTTAACTTTAAATGAAACCTCTTTTTGACAAAATTTGAAATGTGTAATATCTGAAAATGTAGCTAGCTAGACTATCTTACATCATGGTTGGACGCGTCTCCTGTCGGATGCCATGGTTGCGCTTAGTTTGAAGATGTAGTCTGGACAGGTGTTTTCCCCATCACCTTAGCTATCATACTTGAATTCCACTGAGTCCTCCAGGAATTGGAGAGCATACACATAACGTTAGCTACCGAGCCAGCCAGCTAACGTTAGCTAGCTAACAGTACATTTTAACTTGACAATAGGTTTATGCAGTTTTACTACATGATACTAAACAAACCCGCCTCTCTTGATCTTCACATCCTTTACTTTACCCATCAGTCTCTCCACCAGTTTGGATAGCTCAAATGGATTCTTCAAGATTAGTATTTCGAAAAGCTGCTCCTCATTAACAAACCTTACTCCTACAAGATATAAAGGGACATTCTCCGCACTGTACCCTACTTTGCCCTTTTTTCCATTATTTTGAACAATACTCCAATCCTCCTTGATTCTACCGCCATTAGATTCACAATCCACTTCATCGTCCGCCTCCGCCATCTTTTCGAATCTGTCCAAAACACAGCGCTCCCGTGTGGATCGTACCTGCCTAGCAGGAAGACGTGAGTGCAGGATTACCTAGACAGAAGCGTGCTATATCTGGCAGATCAATCCAAACTCATCTCTTGGCATGTCCAGCCCACTCATTATTTTAGCGAATCATGGCTAGCGGGAAGGTTGCTGTCTTTTTCTCTGGCTAAACCAACTAGGCTCATAATTTAACAATTTTATTTGTATTTACAGATGGCATACACGTTTGTTATTAAGGCACATGAAAGTTCACATGTTCGAAAAGGTATTTCTGGCAGAAAATGCATTTTTATAAAATAAATAAAAGTTTACGTTCAAATGGCTCTCCTGTGACGTAGTGACCCGCAACATACGCCCAGTTTCCTTAAACGGGTCACATATAAATTAGTACGTTCTATGGATGGTCATAAACTGCAGTAATATATGTCTGAGATGATATGAACATCACTGGGCATTCTAACATATCTGTATCCATACATCATCATCAATAGCATCTCCCAGGTCTTCCTCACATTTTTGTTTTACATGTTTTGTGTCATCGTGAAAAGCCTCTATCAACCCTTGATACAGTTTGGAAATCAACTTTGGAGGTTTGTCATACCTGTTGTTAAAATAGCATCTGGCTTGTCCAGTGTATGCTGGACAGAGAGAATAAAGTGTTCACCTCACCTCTGTAACAAACTGGTCTTCCCTGGCTGTCTGACCCTGCTGATCCTCCTAAAATGAGGCATGACAAATAATTATCTTGGTGTAGATTTATACATTATATTATATTATCCAAGAAGAATCAATGGGTCAATAATTGACCCATTATTCCCAGATCCCAGACTGTAGCTTTAAGCTGAAGCTGCTGACCTGTAGCTACTGTAGGTCTACCCATCAATTCAGGTTGGAACTTTGTATCATTCACTGAATATACTGCAAAATTTAGCTCCGTAGACTGGTCTTCCCTGGCTGTCTGACCCTGCTAAAACATGATGAGCATATTGTTGTGTACTGACTGCACTAGAGGGCTGCGGGTCCCGACAGAGATCATTGCGGTGTGGTCATCATTTTTCATGCTGCAGGCGGGAGCGGATGGTCAGACAGACAGCTTTGGGATGGAAATATTTTTGTTGTCCCACAGATTATTTTGAAACGGTCCTCTTTCTGCTTTGTATGCGTTAGCCTACCTATTGTATTAAAAGCACATACGTTTCGCATTATTCACACACACAGAATTCGCTGCTTCAACTTCAGTAGCCTAATTCTCCTAGTTGGGCGTGAGAGTTCAAGTGGCCTAGTATGTGTGGTCTCATTGAAATAGAGTAGGCTGCTTACATGGGCAGAGAATCACGTGGCAGTTAACTTGAATATGAAATTAACTTAAATATGATTAGACAGTAGTTTACTACAGTGTCTGTAAATAAATATTGATCATGAAAAGAAGTGGAGGGCGCTCAACCAATGTGAGTCGAAGTTTAATAAAAAAATGTCATCATCATTGAAAAGGAAAAGGCACAACGCACACATAGGTTAGGCTACTATGGTGAGTGAACGTTGCGCCTTTTAATTTTCAACAAGTATGGATTACCCATTTATTTGTCTCTGCCTGCAATTCGTCCTCCTAAAAGTTCAGTAGCCATATCTGCGAGATCAGGTGCACGTCTGGTCTCAATTAAATAGAGTAGGCTATAGCCTATGTATACATGGGTGGAGAAGCACAGGGCAGTTATCATTCCAAGGAAATGTATTTCCTAAATATGCCTATGATTAGGCTATAGTTTACTACATTGCCTAGAAATACAGTGCCTTGCAAAAGTATTCATCCCCCTTGGCATTTTTCCTATTTCGTTGCATTACAACCTGTAATTTAAATGGATATTTATTTTGATTTCATGTAATGGACATACACAAAATAGTCCAAATTGGTGAAGTGAAATGAAAAAAAAATGGTTTCCCAAAAAAATTCTAAGAAATAAATAACGTAAAAGTGGTGCGTGCATATGTATTGACCCCCTTTGCTATGAAGCCCCTAAATAAGATCTGGTGCTACCAATTACCATCAGAAGTCGCATAATTAGTTAATAAAGTTCACCTGTATGCTATCTAAGTGTCATATGATCTGTCACATGATCTCAGTATATATACACCTGTTCTGAAAGGCCCCAGAGTCTGCAACACCACTAAGCGAGGGGCACCACCAAGCAAGCGGCATCATGAAGACCAAGGCGCTCTCCAAACAGGTCAGGGACAAAGTTGTGGAGAAGTACAGATCAGGGTTGGGTTATAAAAAAATATCAGAAACTTTGAACATCCCACGGAGCACCATTAAATCCATTAATAAAAAATGGAAAGAATATGGCACCACAACAAACCTGCCAAGAGAGGGCCGCTCACCAAAACTCACGGACCAGGCAAGGAGGGCAGTAATCAGAGAGGCAACAAAGAGACCAAAAATAACCCTGAAGGAGCTGCAAAGCCCAGCGTTGTCCGGGTTTGGCCGGTGTAGGCCGCCATTGTAAAAAATTATTTGTTCTTAACTGACTTGCCTAGTTAAATAAAGGTAAAAAAAAAAAAAGAAGCTCCACAGCGGAGATTGGAGTATCTGTCCATAGGACCACTTTAAGCCGTACACTCCACAGAGCTGGGCTTTACGGAAGAGTGGCCAGAAAAAAGCCATTGCTTAAAGAAAAAAAGAAGCAAACACATTTGGTGTTCGCCAAAAGCCATGTGGGAGACTCCCCAAACATATGGAAGAAGGTACTCTGGTCAGATGAGACTAGAATTGAGCTTTTTGCCAATCAAGGAAAACGCTCGGTCTGGCGCAAACCCAACACCTCTCATCACCCCGAGAACACCATCCCCACAGCGAAGCATGGTGGTGGCAGCATCATGCTGTGGGGATGTTTTTCATCGGCAGGGACTGGGAAACTGGTCAAAATTGAAGGAATCATGGATGGCGCTAAATACAGGGGAATTCTTGAGGGAAACCTGTTTCAGTCTTCCAGAGATTTGAGACTGGGATGGAGGTTCACCTTCCAGCAGGACAATGACCCTAAGCATACTGCTAAAGCAACACTCGAGTGGTTTAAGGGGAAACATTTAAATGTCTTGGATGGCCTAGTCAAAGCCCAGACCTCAATCCAATTGAGAATCTGTGGTATGACTTAAAGATTGCTGTACACCAGCGGAACCCATCCAACATGAAGGAGCTGGAGCAGTTTTGCCTTGAAGAATGGGCAAAAATCCCATTGGCTAGATGTGCCAAGCTTATAGAGACATACCCCAAGAGACTTGCAGCTGTAATTGCTGCAAAAGGTGGCTCTACAAAATAGTGACTTTGGGGGGGGGTGAATAGTTATGCACGCTCAAGTTTTCAATTTTTCTGTCTTATTTCTTGTTTGTTTCGCAATAAAAAATATTTTGCATCTCCAAAGTGGTAGGGATGTTGTGTAAATCAAATGATTCAAACCCCCAAAAAATCTATTTTAATTCCAGGTTGTAAGGCAACAAAATAGGAAAAATACCAAAGGGGATGAATACTTTCGCATGCCACTGTAGGCCTAAATATTGATCACCCATATTTCTCCATCTGAAAATCTTCCCACTCCTAAAAGGTAGGCTATAAAAATAGCTCAAGAGAAAGTGCAAGTCTCTCCAACTCTGCTCTCTTCAAACTACATCTAGCATTTTGGCTGATAAAGCCCAGTAGTACAATATATGGGCCATGTGAGAATCCCTGGTTATTTAACCTATTTCTTCAGTTATTTTTGCGCATTTGATATTGCCTATAGGGCGCAAAATTGCTAGGTAGCGGATGGGTTCTTGCGGGTGGGAGTCGGATAGAAAGCCAGTGAAAGCCAGTGGGTGTAGGCAGGATGAAGAAATCGGTCAGGCGCAGACCTTGACTGTGCACCATGAAAGTGAAGCCTGTAATGTTAGAGCTGTTTATTACTGTGTCAGTGTGAAAAGTAGGGAATTAGCTAGGGAAACTGACAGATCAATAACGTTATATTGACATACTGACTAATACAACCCACATTGCACTGAAAAAACATCAGAATATCAATCTTCAATCGTTTGGCCGATGGGTTCATTGTTTGATTCAGGTCTAGTTTGATTGAAGTAAATATAAAAGCTAATATAAGCCAACTTTTGGCCAGCTCTAACAGTACATCAACTGGTGAAAGCTTGCCAAGTTAATTTACTTCTGAAACGTGACAAAAGGTTACAAAACATGTCCATGCAAACAACTGCTGTTAGATAGTAATAATAGCCACCTCATATCTCTATCTGCCAGATAACTAGAAGCTAGAGCTGACCTGGCTGTGGTTATTCATTCACCTCAGTCGAGAGGGGATGAAACATTAGCTAACGTTACATATCAGTTACAATACTAGCTCAGCACTGTGAATAAACACTAGTTTAGTTATTTAAAAAAAAAGTTCAATAGCAGTTACCTTGCCAGCTACATCACGCAAATAAAGAGTAGCCAGTTTCTATTCCTTTTACAACTCGGTGAAAGAGCACAATGCGTACACTGAACTATGCTCAACTCTCCTGTGCTGGTCCAGCCAGACTTCCAGAAGCGTTGTCTTACACAGCCTGTCAGCCAGCTCTGTGGTGTCTGCGTGGTCCTAAATCCAGTCGTTTAAACACTCCAAACGGCCTACCTGACCGCTCGGAGACATCCGCATGGTCCTAAAGCACACCATTGCCTTGTTTTGTATCACATTCCAATGATTAAACCAGGGGGGACAAAAGTGCAATTTCAGAATGTGGGGGGGACATAAAAAAAGAAATAAAAAAGCTTATCTTGTTTTGTATCTTTCCATGTTCGTTATTAAACTCAGTAACTACACGTGATTCCCTGCATCTACGTTACAGCTGCACCTTCTGGATCATCAAGGTGACTGATTTTAATGCTGTTTAAATGTAGTTAAAGATGGTCATCAAATCTCCCCTGGAATTCAATGGCATTATCTGATCCTAAAGTCTCCCACCTCAGCATATACTTTGGGAAGTCATTAGCTCCCTGCTTGTACCAGAACAGGTCTGGATTTGTATCTAGAGTATCAAATTGACAGTCCAGTGTGACCTGTTCTCCCTCAGTAGCGATCACATCTCCAGGTGACTGAGTGACTGAATCTTCTCCTCTGCATTCTGGAAAATAATTTAATACACAATTATATTAGGGAGAAAATAATCAAGCAACATGATTGAGGGAATAAAAAAGTATGAAATTAATACTGGTAGTATTATACTGAGAAATATGTTTGATAAAAGAAAGGAATGGGAGCAAAGGCAGAAAACAAATTAGGAAAATATTATTATCATACTAAAACAACATGCAGCAAGAACCAGTATATTCTTCAGCCAGGGTTCCATGCCTGCTACTGTGAGATCAGTGGGAGAAGAATAATACCACTCTGATGTAACTAGACCATGATGAGACTATGAACTCCTTGTCTCCTCCTCTTTCTGTGTATCGTCAAACATTGAGATGCTTGTGACATTGTCTGAACAACACTTTACCATGAGAATTACGCCAGCTGGCTGCCTACAGGCGGGTAATTCTCTACTCCGGGTGAGGTCGTCGGGTAAGCTTGGCTTGGCTTTATACTTTGTTTGGGCTTTGTCGAGTAAGGCTTAAACTATGTATTTAGATTGTAGTTAGGTATTGTAGGTAGTTATCGTGGGTTGTTGTATGTAATTATTGTAGGTTAGTATTGTATTCGTCTGAGCCCGGTGAAGCACGAAGCTAGCTGGCTAACCCACTACCTGGCGGGTAGCTACTGGCAACTATTAGCAACGGTATAGTTGTTTCACGCCTGAGAGTGCCTGTAATTACGCCAGCTGGCTGCCTACAATAATTACATACAATAATTGCCTACCATTCAGCTGTTTTCTAACCTCATTGTCTGAACCGTTAACGTTAGGTAGTAAGTGGCTACTGTGCTTGAAATTTAGCTAGCTTGTTGCTACCTGGATAGCAACTAGTAAACAATAGCTGGAACGACCTAGCGAACAGACGCGAACTGGCTGAGTCAATTCAGTGGCTAGCTTTGCACTTGGCTAGCTAACAGTAGCTGCTAGGGGTAAGTCATAACCTACATTTGTGTTTTGTTTTTACATATTGGTAGCCAGAGTCGTTCAAGGAATTCGGGACATGGGTGACTAGTTAACGTTAGTTTGGCTCTCTCTGTGTGTTCGTGCCGAGAAAGGAGGGGTTTCTTCTTTGTCTGAAAGCAATGGCTAGCTAGTATGCTAACTATTCTAGCTAACTAACTGGCTGAATAAGTTGACGACGGACTCGCTCAAGCTGTCGGGACTAACCCACAACGTTAGACACGGACACGAACGATCTGCTTGGCGTGTTGACACACTGGTGGTTTGTTGTGGCCGAGTATTGGTGCTAAACCGTGTTGTTGGAGTCCGGCATGCCAGCTGGCTGTGGCGTCTTATGACTAGGTGCCCTGGACGATTTTCACGGAAGAATACTGTACTTAGTTAGCTAGCTGAATAAACTAAGTTAGTCTAGAAGATGGCGTATTGAATAGAAATCGGTGCAAAACACCTCAAGATAAAAACATAATATTCAAAATCAGTAAGTTAGACTAAATATTAGCATTTCATATATTCGCAGTTAATATAATTCAATCTGGATAATAACACAAAACAGATCATAAGGCTAGAGAAATATATCGACAAATATTACAACAACACGCAACACCCAAACATGACTGAAGACAAGCATGGAGAGCCGATCCCCAAAAGGAAACGCGACTCATCGACTGATACAGATGATATATGCTTTTCACCACTGGGTATGGTAAGTGTGGAAAGCGACCTGTTGAAGTCGATAAATGACAAATTGGGCATACTAGAATTGGTCAGTAAAGACGTAAAAGAGTTCAAAGCGAGTCTTCAAATGAGTGACGAAAAAGCTTTGGTAATGAAGCAAGAAACCAAATAATTAAAAGTGACAGTCTCTAAAATGGAAACGGACGTTAGGGAACTAAAAAAGGAGAACAACCTTCTGAGAGAAGCCTTACTAGACATCCAAACTAGATCGATGAGGGAAAATCTAGTACTTACGGGTATTCAGGAAAAGGAGGGAGAAATAACAGAGAATATTATGAAGGACTTCCTGCATACAGCGCTACAAATCCCACTCGAGGCTGTCGATAAAATCCAACTCGAACGTGTACATCGTTTCGGAAAATCGTTGCCAAATTTGCTTTTTTTTAAGGATAAAGCTATGGTGAAAAGCCTAGGAAAAAGACTTGCTGGCACGAAAATAGGCATGAATGATCAGTTCCCGAGGGAGATTGTAGAAAGGCGCAAAGTTCTGTATCCAATCTTCAAGGAAAACAGATTAAAAGGGAAACGTGTTGCACTCGTGGTGGATAAACTATATATTGACAACCAAATGTTCAGAGACACAAAGACTACTCCATGGCTATTCTAAAAGGTGTAATAGAGGAGTCGAATATTGGAGCACCTGATACTAGCAATGATAGGGATTGTAATATTAAATAACATTTATAGTAAGTATAGTATTTTATAAAAGGATAAAAACGACATAACAAGCAGAATAATACATCTTTAAATACAAATAATTAGAACATGGCTTTTTTGGCGGGAGGTTGTTGTTTTGGCGGATGGTTGTTGTGGTTGGTCCTGTGTTCTCTCTGGCGTCCTTTCCCCCTTGCGGCAGATGTGGATGCGGGTGCGTTTGCACGCTCGGCCCATTTCTTCCGCAGTCAACCATGTGGTGTGCATTTTTGTGTTTGAAAAGATGCGGCGTTAAGTGAGTGAGAGGGGAAATGGTTGCATATCCCAGAGCCGACCGGGGGTCTATGAGCAGGGGTAGTGAGAGAGAGCTTTCAATTTTGTGTAGATCAGGAATATACATTTTTAAATATAGTATACATCTAATCTAATTTTTCATTGTCCTATAATGATGGAAAGATCCCTAACCCTATAACCTGGACACCCACCTGAGCGACCCATACACCAAAGAGAAGTTCCCATCTCTTTTATGGACCTGCTGTGAGTATGCAGCCTAAACAGAGAAATAAATGCGGTCAGAGACCTACTTAAGCAGCACCGCCCCCTCAAGATTCTGAGCCTGCCTGGCAAGGTTGGTCCTACAAAGCCAGAGCCCCCTGATGGGAGAGCATAATATACAAGGAAATTCTCAAAGCTGCTAATGAGAACCTTGACGACCTTTTACCTAGCCGGTGGGGATTCCGGTGGGGTACGTCCACCCAGGTAGTGGCAGTGCTGGCAACACTGGCTGCAGTAACCCATGGGGAGGGGGTCACACTCGGACAATCAGAGAGGGGGTTTATCATTGTGGCCCAGGTGGCACAAAATAATCAAAGGTCTGACCGCACGGAGATGCTTGGGAAAATGGTTACAACAGGGGATCAGAGTGTTTGTGTCTCAGGTGAAGAGGGTGGATCTGATCTCCATCACCTAGGACTTGACATAGATTAAGTAGATTAATCAAATCTCACATTGTTATCAATTTCTGCTCAATCTGCATGCTTTCTCAATCAGCTTTAACTATGTGCACTCGTAAATCAAGTTGGGCTCTGGGATATAACAGCCGTTGAGTATCTGATTTTATGGTGGATTGTGGAGGAGGGGGCTTGAGTGTGTTGGAGTACAGTGGGGAAAAAAAGTATTTAGTCAGCCACCAATTGTGCAAGTTCTCCCACTTAAAAAGATGAGAGAGGCCTGTAATTTTCATCACAGGTACACGTCAACTATGACAGACAAAATGAGAAACAAATATCCTGAAAATCACATTGTTGGATTTTTAATGAATTTATTTGCAAATTATGGTGGAAAATAAGTATTTGGTCAATAGTTTCTCAATACTTTGTTATATACCCTTTGTTGGCAATGACACAGGTCAAACGTTTTCTGTAAGTCTTCACAAGGTTTTCACACACTGTTGCTGGTATTTTGGCCCATTCCTCCATGCAGATCTCCTCTAGAGCAGTGATGTTTTGGGGCTGTCGCTGGGCAACACGGACTTTCAACTCCCTCCAAAGATTTTCTATGGGGTTGAGATCTGGAGACTGGCTAGGCCACTCCAGGACCTTGAAATGCTTCTTACGAAGCCACTCCTTCGTTGCCTGGGCGGTGTGTTTGGGATCATTGTCATGCTGAAAGACCCAGCGACGTTTCATCTTCAATGCCCTTGCTGATGGAAGGAGGTTTTCACTCAAAATCTCACGATACATGGCCCCATTCATTCTTTCCTTTACACGGATCAGTCGTCCTGGTCCCTTTGCAGAAAAACAGCCCCAAAGCATGATGTTTCCACCCCCATGCTTCACAGTAGGTATGGTGTTCTTTGGATGCAACTCAGCATTCTTTGTCCTCCAAACACGACGAGTTGAGTTTTTACCAAAAAGTTCTATTTTGGTTTCATCTGACTATATGACATTCTCCAAATCCTCTTCTGGATCATCCAAATGCACTCTAGCAAACTTCAGACGGGCCTGGACATGTACTGGCTTAAGCAGGGGGACACGTCTGGCACTGCAGGATTTGAGTCCCTGGCGGCGTAGTGTGTTACTGATGGTAGGCTTTGTTACTTTGGTCCCAGCTCTCTACAGGTCATTCACTAGGTCCCCCCGTGTGGTTCTGGGATTTTTGCTCACCGTTCTTGTGATCATTTTGACCCCACGGGGTGAGATCTTGCGTGGAGCCCCAGATCGAGGGAGATTATCAGTGGTCTTGTATGTCTTCCATTTCCTAATAATTGCTCCCACAGTTGATTTCTTCAAACCAAGCTGCTTACCTATTGCAGATTCAGTCTTCCCAGCCTGGTGCAGGTCTACAATTTTGTTTCTGGTGTCCTTTGACAGCTCTTTGGTCTTGGCCATAGTGGAGTTTGGAATGTGACTGTTTGAGGTTGTGGACAGGTGTCTTTTATACTGATAACAAGTTCAAACAGGTGCCATTAATACAGGTAACGAGTGGAGGACAGAGGAGCCTCTTAAAGAAGAAGTTACAGGTCTGTGAGAGCCAGAAATCTTGCTTGTTTGTAGGTGACCAAATACTTATTTTCCACCATAATTTGCAAATAAAGTCATTAAAAATCCTACAATGTGATTTTCTGGAAAAAAATATCTCAAT